CTTTTGATGCACATTTGCTTTTTCTGTCCACTCCAGCTAAGTGAACTCAAATAATTAATATTCACAAAACAGCACAATTATTTTTTTTAACAAGTACGTGTATTTGATTCAGATGTAAGATCCAACTACAGTAGTTTCCTCTTTTACAAGAATGGGCAGTTTTCACATTTTTCTTTGCTGAATTTGTTGACATTGTCAATAAATCGAGCAGAGAAGAGCCATAGCCTGTTATTTAGATTTTAACCACGAGCGTCAGGTTTTGTTTAGCCCACAGGATCTCATGGCACAGCTTTCATGACCAAATAAAACCTAGAACATCAAACTAAGTTTATGAAGAATTTAACCCCCACAAAAATGTTAAAATGATACATATTGAGCACAAAATGATACAAGAAGTCTCTAAGACACAATTGTAGAATTGACTTGGCTACAATTATCTTCTGGTTTTGCTAAATATTTAGGTTATTTTCGATCATGTTTCTTAGATCTTGTGTGAGTTAAGAGGGTCTTTCACACGTCTATGTCCAGAGCCCAGCTTTGTGCTAACCCATCCAGAACAAGAGCACTTCAGACATTTCACACAAGCCTGCACCTGTCAACACAGCTCGGCCATCCCGTCTGGGTAAATAAAGATAAAGAAGAAAACTGATTTAAAGAAGATGTGTAGATTTAGTTTTTTATGTGCTGGAAACTTGTTTCCTTCTTGTCCAAATGTTTGCTGTCTGCCTCAGTTTGCAGTGTAAATAACTGTGTCGGATCTGACCTCCACCATGTGTAACATTTTAAATTGCATTATCGTAGCATTCTTAGCACTTTTTATTTGAAATGGGCCTAGATTTTTTTTCGTCACACATCTGAGCATTGAACTGTTTCGAATTTGTATTGAAAATTCAATTTACTGTGTCATGTATTTACAAAAGGACATGGTTTGCGTCAGAAATTGCTCTATCCATCCATCCATTATCTTTACCCGCTTATTCCATTTTTGGGTCACGGGGGTCGCTGGTGCCCATGTCCAGCAATCACTGTGCGAGGGGCGGGGTACACCCTGGACGGGTTGCAAGTCCATCACAGGGCCACATAGAGACAAACGAGACAAGCAACCATTCACACTCTCACTCTCACCTAGGGACAATTTAGAGTTACCAATCAGCCTAACATGCATGTTTTTGGTCTGTCGGAGGAAACCGGAATAGCCAGAGAAAACCCACGCGTGCACGGAGAGAACATGCAAACTCCACCCAGAAAGGACCCTGGACCGGGGTTTGAGCCAAGGACCTGCTCGCTGAGAGGCAGCAGCTCTACCAGTTGCGCCACCGTGCTGCCAGAAATTGCTCTAGCATGGACTTAAAGGATTTTCTGTGACTGGTTTTCCTAACTTTTGGGGTAAAAAGTAAACTGAATAAGACAAAAGTTGAAAAAATATTCTGAAAGAAAAAGAAAACACTAAACAACCTAAATATTTGACCATTTTTCATATTATCATACACCAAAGTCAAAGGTGGAATGAATTTTGGTATAATCTCATTCTGTACACTTTCTCTTGTCCTGCCCATAACTTCTAATCTGCTCAAGATAATCTAATGAAACCTATACACATATGCATCATCACTAGACAGAGTGTGGTGCACACTTTTCATCATCCCACCCCAACTTCAAGGGCACAAATCAAGGTCAAATGATATAGAAGGTCTTTGCTTGTCCAGGTCTTTGCCACAGATTGCTGTATTGCTGTGTAACAGTTTGTCTGCAGGTATATAATGTGGTGTGTGCAGTACTCTTGTTATATTCTGTGTTTCACACAGAATGATGACCACAATATAAAGAAAAATAAATGAATAAATCACCCAGAATATATCCTGATGTGTATGGCCTTTGCACAGCCTTGGTGAAGTCTTTGAGGCCATACTATGAACCCAGTTGGTGCACGATAGCTCCACAATATTTTGAGCATAGGTAACATTTCCATAATAAGATCATGTTGATTTAGTATAATGTTTTTTTTCTTTGTATTTGTTGCATTGGAGTATGGAGTAATGTGATGGCAGCAGATCTATAATGTGGGGCTCACACAGCGGTGTGGCTTTGTCCTTAAGGTTTTAAAGCATGACTGGCCTTGCTGCCTTCATACTCAGGCTAACTCATGACAAGTTACCTCCGAATGTAAACGGAATACCTTTAGCTGGATTCTGACACAGTCCAAGAGTCATGGCAGGACTTGGTGTACAGAGTGTGAGGGTGCATGAGAACATCATAGTGATGTGGAAAAATAGTGGGAAACCAATTTGCATAGGTACTGTAATTTCTGGACTATTGAGCACACCCGAATATAAGCCACACCCACAAAAAAATTTATACATATTTAAACCACGCTTTCCTATAAGTGGTAAATGGTTAATGGACTGTACTTATATAGCACCATTCTATCTGATCAAGATACTCAAAGCTCTTTACAACACAATCTGTGTCCTCATTTACCCATTCATACAGCACTCTACTAGATCTCTACAAAGACTAATCAGTGCTTTATCACATTCATACACTGATGGGACACACATCAGAGGCAGTGAGGGGTTCAATGTCTTGCCCAGGGACACTTCAGCATGTGACTGCTGTTGGAATCAACCCCCCAACTTTTGCATTGAAAGACGACTGCTCTAACCACTCAGCTACAGCCACCCCATGGGATAAGCCACGGGTGTCCACGGTGACAAAGCC